AACAAACACACCATTTTACATGCTGCCGAGTCTGGCCTTATTGGCTCAGACGTTTTTCTGAATTAGGCCGATAATAATTACGATTTTGCAAAATTTTATATAACTTTTCTTCTCAGTTTAACCCAATCTACTATAATCTTTGGGGTCGTCCATATCGAATCTGACACCCTGTATACATAGAACAGATCTTATTAAACCCTGCATCCAACCGTTATTATTGAAAAAAATTATTGCTACAAATATTACTTATTACAATGAATAAAAATTAATATAATTAAATATAGCTTGAAACAATTACTATAATTAAATTATTTAAAACAATTTTTCTAACTGCGTAATAATAAAATACATTGTTATAAGTATTACTATTTTATTAAGTAAAGATTAACGTAGAAAAATTAATATGGTTTATTTTCAGAAAACACTGCGAGAATGTGAGTAGAAGAACAATTGAGTAGAATAACCAGTATAAATATACAGGTCTACTATCACTACTAGATACTGCTTACGACAAAACAGTACCATACGAGTACGTGCCCTTGTCAACTTAAATATACATATACCCTCCCTTAATTATCAACGTTCTATGAAATATATTACCTGATTTGGTCGCAATCGGTAATGTATACGACGTTAGATAGTTTTCGAGTTAAACTATATCGGTAAACTCTCGACCGAGAAACGTGACGCATGTCGGTTGCACACACTTGACAGTTAATGTCAAACTTGGTGAATCAGGAGAGTGACATCTTTGATTTACGAAAAGCACTCGTCGGTATCACTTTGCTAACAATATTCTATAGCTACCGATAACTCTCAAATACGGAGGAATCTCAACTTATTTTAACTTGTTTTTCATACATATTTGTACTACTACGTATGTATACTGATATCTTAAGTGAATAAACATTCACGACAAGCTAAAACAAGACAAGATACCAATATCAACATTAAAAAGTCTTATCATTCATAAGAAATAAATAAATATCCAGCAGGATACAACAATTAACTGATATAATAAATAGTTAACATAAAACAACTGAATAATAACAATGAGCAAAATGGCGGAAGAAAGATAATCTTTTAATAATATAGAAAATTTAATCAAAAGAGATCAAATAAAAAATTTTGCAAATTCAATATTTTACTCAGTTATCAAAGTGCAACATTCTCAACATAAAAAGCGTTTAGGTTGGAAATTTGTGTATTATTTATTTTGAAAATTTTTGATTAATTTAGGTCATTAATTTTAATAGCAAAACATTATATCTCAGATTAAAGCAGTTAAAGTTATATTTTCTTTCTTGTTCTTGAATGCTTCCTAGCAACATAAAAAACTATTCAATATTTTTACATACAAGAAAGATTTAACTCCAATCAATTTCTAGCATTTTAAAATTTAGACTATACATTTAGTGTTTAGAATAAATATTTTTCCTATGTTTAATACATGTACACGCACAGACGTAGGTACACAACACACATACACACACGCACGCGCACGCGCAAGGGCACGCACGCACGCACACAGACACACACACACACATGCGCACACGCGCACACATAATTTAAAAATATGCAAAAGTATGTTTTCTGAACCTAATAGATATTCAATTAATGATTGCAGATACGATTTAAAAAAGTTTCTTTTAATTTCTTATTATTTAAATCTTTACTAGGTTTTAAACGAAAGATAATAGGAATGTAAATAACCGTTCAACTACAAACGAAACGAAATTCACTACAATCAACTACAAACGATTCTGAAGAAGACTGCGCAAGCGGATTTCAGATATCTTAATGTCGGATGCTGGTCATTTAAAAAAATGTTTATATCTTATAATATAAACCAAGGAACTACAAACGAAATTTCTTTTACTACAATCAGCTACAAACGAAATGCTATCAGTTTCCGTAAAAAAAATCAAGTTTGAAAAACCGGGTGCCAGGTTCACATAGCGGACATAGCCTTTATGAAGGGTTTCAATTATATTAAAGGTCGAGTTTCTTTGATAAAATTGAAACCCTTCTTTGATAGAAATACTTGTATTGTAAAACTAGCTAATCATATTTCACAAACATTAGATGCTAAGCTATTGCATAGGGTACAGGGTCACATACGTAAGATTGCATACAGAATTGAAATAAGACTACGATTGTTAAAGTGTGACGTAACGCCGGAAGCGCGAAATGGGGGCATGATATTAAATGCGCATTTTACCCGGTAAACAATTTTTCATGGCTGAACGTGAATAAATATATACAATTATATGAAAACATTGTATATTTCTATATAATTTTGTGTAATTCCACATAGTTTTGTATAATTTTATAGATTCCACATAGTTTTGTATAACTTTATAGATTTATACATGCTTTTATATGAAAATTTTTTTAACGTGAAAAATTGCTTATTTATTAATTTACACATTTTTTATTATATATAATTGTGTACAATTGTTACAATTATATATAATTGTGTACAATTGCACAAAGTTATACATAATTATAAATAAGCAATTTTTCCCTTTTAAAAAGTTTTCATATAAAAGTATGTATAAATCTATAAAATTATATAGAACTGTGTAAAATTGTATAGAATTACATGGAAATATACATACAATGTAAATATATGTATGGACATATTTTCGTTGTGTATGAAAAATTTCCATCGGATAAACCAATTAAACAATGTCTTCGATGGTTCATTTTTCCGATTGCGTTTCCCGATTAAATTATGGATATATCCGATGAAATTTATCCGATAAAATACAGTTACCGATAAAATTTGATTGAAAAACCGATCATATTTTTCATCGGGTATACAATTTAATTGGACATATATCCGTTTGTTATAATGTAATTGGATTATCCGATTATATTTAATCAGACATTGTTCTCAGTGTATATATTTATGCATGCTTACGTATGACACATTTTTTATTGGATACCCAATAGAAATAATCCGCGTTTCAGGAGAACACACCACACAACTATAAGTTTTTGCAACCTGTCATTTCCGTCACCTATTCCAATAAGTTATGCTTTCCAGGGCAACCGATACGGGCAAGCGGGGGGTTTCGTTAATAGTTGTGGGGCGGCACAAAGCTAAATAAATAGGACGTACGCTCCAGCATCTTGGTATCACGTAGTAAACTTGCCACCAGGTCAGACCATCCGTGAGAGTCACCGTTACGTATATTCGTGTTTCTTGTTAAGCTTATTTCGCGACGGAATAGATACGATACTACCCACTTATACTCATCGCTCAAGTCGTAAGTCACCGATTCGTCAGCAGGTATAGTAATTCTGATTACTTAATGGCAAATTAATTACGAGTAAAAATATTTTTTAATTAAAACCTTTTTCTTTGAAATCTGTGGAAAGCGAAATATTAATTCAAATTATCGAATCATTCTATAATCCTAACCTGGCACTCTCTTTTTCTAACAATAATATTTATATACATAATATTTATATGTATTAGATACTTATGTTTAAGAAAGGGATGAGAAACAAGTACACAATGTGCGCGTAGATTTATTATGTCATTTTTAATATTCCGTATTTTCACTCCCTTAGAAGTACTAACGAAACGAATAACAATACACGAATGATAACGAAACAGTACCCGCTGTCGAAATTAGAATAGCTTTAATAATGACAAAGTTACCTTTTACCCAAATTTTCAATACTCCGTATTTCCATCCCGTTAAGAGATACGAAACGAAAAGTGATACAAACGGATACAAATAATGCTTATTATAAATCGAATAACTTGTCGAAGATTACTGTATGGTATCTCAAAAGTCAGTGATGTTTTAATTACTTATAACTTTCATCCCTTTGAGGTACAAATAAGATAAATTGTGGTATAGGTACAAACCGAGCGTAAGCAAATACATATACCTAAAAAAATTAATTTTTATTAAAGTTGGAGCTAAGTTCTCTCTCTCTCTCTCTCTCTCTCTCTCTCTCTCTCTCTCTCTCTCTCTCTCTCTCTCTCTCTCTCTCTCTTAATATATGATGTAAATAAATACATTATTTTAATTCTATTGGAAAATGGATATTCACTGTCCGTGATTTTCCAAGTATTACACAACGACCGAAAACGATTTTCTTAAAAAGACTTAGTTCAATATTTCTACTGTCGAAATACAGAATAGCACAGCTAATAGGCTTTTTTTCAATATTCCATACACTCCATGGTTTTCTGAATAATTCACGCATGTCGTCCATGATCGTGACATCCCTTTATCTTACACTGGACTCGACAAACTTAGTCGTTTCGTTAAGGCACATAAAGATCCGCTCTCCACGTTTTCTCACGGCAAAGTAGTCTATAAAATTTCATGTAAAGACTGCGATGCCTCGTATGTAGGCCAAACTGGTAGGCTATTAAAAACAAGAATCAATGAACACCGTAAACATATTAACAGAAGAACGCAGCAACTTTCTGTTATCACAGAACATAGACTCATAAGCCATGAATTCGACTGGGATAATGTTGATATCTTGGATGAAGAAAAATCTTTTCTTTTTAAACGTCGCATTTCCGAAATAATTTTCATTAAACGCCAAACGAACAGTCTTGACTTACAAAATGACACAGATTTCCTAGATGACTCATACAATTTTATCATTCACAATCTTGACAAAATTAAAAATTTTTTCCCTTTTTTTATATTTTAACTCCTGACTTTGACTTATTTATTTATGTATTTATTTTTCAAGTTTTATTCGACATAATTTTATATTCTGCGCACGTTTTTGTTATTTTATTTTTAATGATATATTATTATTGTTATATACAATAGTTTAGACCCCTGTATTTTCTCGCTGTGCTTCTCGATACGTATTATATTTATTTGCGACTTTTATCTTAACGTTACCGCTGCGTCATTACTATTCGGTTAATGTTACGGGATATGTCCTGTCTAGTTTTTGGTGATTCTCTCTGTTAAAACTTGCATCCTAATTTGTTTCATTGATTATTCTTTTTTCTTTCGTTAATTTTTTTCTGACTTACTAATCTCAATAGTTTTACTCTTTGAACTGTGATTTTCTATCCTCTTCTCTTTATCTTTGGAGCCATTTGGAGACTCACGCGTCAACCTTGAGAGAGGAAGTATTTTTATCGCGACAATTACGCTGATTCCACGATAATTTCCCTTTCACACTCGTTATAATATTCTCTTTATCAGGTATTCTACTTATCTTTTAGTTTGACCAATTCTTTTTGTACTCTACCGTATTAAATAATATAAAAAAATTTCATCATAATTTTTAAAAGTCTATTTGTTGTCCTAGATCATTGAAGAGGATCCGAACATGGGTCGAAACGTTTGAATAAAAAGAATATACAATACATATTTTCCACGTTTAAACCACGCACTGTGTTCCACGTTTATTGGCTCACATTTGCCTTCCTTCATCGATTCTTTATCTTTTTTGGAGCCTCCACCACTCTTCTTAAATATTTTCAAATATTATGAAATATAATCATAGCTTTCTTTAGTTTTAGAACTAATATATAATTACTTATTATAGATATTCCAGTAATATGGAGTCAAAATTGTTCGTTAGACGAGTAACGCCATTCCTGGAAGCTTCTCAGCAGGATACGTCGCAAAAGAAATCGGTGACAGAAAAAACCATGACGCAAAAATTGTTAACTCAAGAGGCACAAAACTTGCAGCCTAAGTACGAGCGGAAAATCGTCTGGAGAAACGTGATACTTCTTACCTACCTTCATATTGGAGCAATTTATGGATTGTATTTTTTAATAACAGCTGCCAAATTTTACACGACTCTTTGGGGTACGTTACATTTATGTATCATAAGTCGCAAATAAACATAATACGTGTCGAGAAACACAGCGAGAAAATACAAGGGTCTAAACTATTGTATATAACAATAATAATATAACAATAAATATAAAATAACGGAAACGTGCGTAGAATATAAAATTATGTCGAATAAAACTTGAAAAAATAAATACATAAATATAATAAATAAGTCAAACGAAATCAGGAGTTCAAATACATATATAAAAAGGGAAAAAATGTTAAGACTTAAAACTTGAAGTTCGAGTGCTGTTTCATTAATTGCAACCATTTATTTGCAAGAAGAAATAACATAAAGAATCAATATCAATAACTTGAACCAATAGATCTTTATAAAATAATAATGATTGCAAGTGTCTTATTTACGAAAGATCTCATGATGTTATGTTGATACATTTTTTTTTCAGTTATACTAATCATGTATCTCGCGGGACTAGGTGTTACAGCAGGTGCCCACAGATTGTGGTGTCATCGATCTTATAAAGCGAAATGGCCGATGAGAGTTATTCTTATGGTTTTACAGACCGCAGCTTTCCAAGTAAGTCTCTCGGCAATGCTGTTATACTTATTCATACGCG